CAAAAGCTCCAACAAGCTGCACCAAACAGGCCCTAAATCTGTTAGCTATGTTACAATGGAATAGCTTGTTTTTCACAGGGAAGGATGATTTTGGCCCACTTGTGTGAAGAACCCAAGGGATTGAAAACTAACATGTGCATGGTATGTAGCAATCTTCTATTAAACAATTTCATTATGATGAATAGACACAGTGTACCTCCTTTTTCCAGCTTTTGAATTTCGCTTATCTGGTTTCCAGGATTTTGCAGTCTTACAAATACTGCCTTTTATTTTGTATCTTCTATTTAATGTATACGAGATTTTTCTTTTACATTTTTCTTGATATTGTTGTATTTGACAGGATTGGTGAGTCCTATAAATTAGTTTTGTTTCTAAGATCAAAATGAAGAATTTTTATTTTATTTTTATTTTATTTTTTATTTTTTATCTTTTATCTAATTCGAAGACTTTGGTCAAATCACATGGTTTACAGTTAACATTTGAGTACCTTCATCTTAGATATATTTTTCTTTATGAACTCTTAAATGTTTGTTTTCTGCAGTCACTTTTGTATCTTCCCTTGGCAATTGCGAACGCTCTCACAGCTAGACTGAATGATGGGTATGTTGTAGTCAGATTGCAATTTTGACATTACACACCCATTTGATTGCAGTTAATTTGGCAGTGATAAGTGTTCATTTCAGAAATGCTGTTTTTTTTCTTGATTTTTATGTTCCTTTATCCCTTCTTCTTGCAGTGTTCCTTTAGTTGATGAATTCTGGGTTCTTCTCGGTTACTGTGTATTCACAGGTTTGTGTCCTCTGTTGTTGTAATAGACATATAGGTTTTATGTGGTGAATTTGATTTTTGAAAGCATCTGCTAAACATTGATCAACCTATATCTGCTTCCAAATTGATTGTCATTTAACTGAACCTTATTCTTACTATTCATTTTGTTGAAGTATTGAAATATGACATTGTGGCATTTTGTTTTTGTCAATCAATTGATTATTGATTATATTGAACCAGTTAATTATATTATTAATCACTTTGTGCACTCGTCTGTCATTTTTTTTTCCTTGTACATTTTATTTTTAATTCTAGAACTGTGCTCTTCATTTTATCTGTATCTATGTATTTAATATGGGCCTAATGATTCTTTTTTGCTGCAAGCAGCGTCACTCTACTTGCACTTTGCTACATCAGTCATTCATGAAATCACAACGGCCTTGGGAATAAATTGCTTCAGGTGAGAAAGTTATACCACCCATCAATTTCCTCTCAGCGTGGAAGATTATTCTCCATGAGTTATTGTTTAGAGTAGTGATTTAGATAATGTGTAGAGGTTTCTCTCACAATACAAACTGCCTGAGTTCTCACAAGTGAGGAAGTGTGAACTTCAAAACCCGTAGTATCTTATTCTATAGCTACTTGCATTTCTTTGCTTGGGACTTGTTTTCGATCAGGTTTTGAGTATTCTGGGTTTGGATAAAGGGTTAAAGGTGGCCCTAAATATATCATACATGAGTACTTATGTCTCTCTTATTGCTTGATATTGAGTTTCAGATTGCTTCTTTAACCATTATTCCTAACTGCTATTCTCTTGCTAAATGACAGGATAACCAGGAAAGAGGCATGACCGTTGATGCTTGTCTCAGGTATTTCCCTCCTTTGTTCTGACCCATGCGGTTGAGATTACCATGTTTCATCTAAACATGGATTCATTGGTGACTAGAACTTGGGTTTCTACCATGCTCTCTAACTCTTAATGTATAAATTTTATCCAGGGCATGGAGTTTGATATCTGGGAGTAAGATTCAACACGTACTCTGCTGGAAAGTTGGTGGAGCTGAAACTGCTAAAGCATTTAGCAAATCAATTTTGATATAGCATTGATTAGAGATATGTTCCTAAACCCAGTAACGGTGATGCATTTTGTCAGGATTGTTGTAGATTATTATTGATTTTTAAAATAGAATAGGCAAAATTTAGGTCTGTAAACTCTGCCATATGTCACTCTTGTATTAATTTTTGCGCTTGGTTTCCTTTGGGTGGACTATGGAGAGAGTGGGTGAACATTTACGTTGGCAACCAGAACGAAATTCTTATGGCAGTATTTTTGAATTTTCCGTCACTGGTTACTTGGGAAGCATATTTGCAAAATTTTTATTACAATAGAAAAACATTTCTTTAACCTTGCCCATCCACCTTATTCAAAATAGCTCCTGGATCAAACTTCTCAAGTTGTATTGACATTGTACAAATTACAAATCACAGATAAATCAAGATGACTTTATATGGCCTTCCCCAACCATTGTGGCAATCGAAATGAAGCGTCCATTTCAAGTCTTGTAAGGGGCAATGAGTTGGATGTTGAAGCATAGGGATTTATAGAGGGGAATTGAAGTGATGATGGGTTCAAGGGAATGGAAGGTAGTGGAAGGGAAGAGCGACCAAGGGCAGTTCGGGAAATATGGAAAAAGGAATGGTGTTGGATTTTGAGCAGATTCTTGGCTCTGTATTTCAGTTTTTGCAGTTGCAGAGCCATTGCCGTGATATTGAGGTTGGAGAGCGCGAGAGGAATGGAGTTGGGCTGGTAATAGCTCAGAAAATGCGAAGTTAATGATGAGAAAAACCGTGGATTGAAAAGGAAGTGCTTCGGCATGTTGGACAACAAATGTGTTGTTGGCAATTTGTTCCCAATGATGAGTGCATTCAAATTTAGTCTTTGTTGCATTACAACTCCAACTTAAACGTTTGGAACAAGAAGAATCCCATCATTCACTAAACAACAAAATTATTAGTGAACAACAAACATTGGAACATCAATGATTATTACCATCTCTAAAAGAAATTAAGTTATATACACAAAACATTACTTAAATCAATTGTTTATTTGTCTCAAGAAAGAATCCCATGTCTTTGAGCGTGCTGCTCAACCATTATGTCCCCCCATCTTTATTTATTTTCTACTCCTTCCCCTCTGCCTTTGTTTTTCCTTTTCAAACACCAAATTTGTTTCACTATTTTTTTTTTCCTAAAATTGTTTTTGTTATGTTTTCATTATATCTACAATAATGCACTTTCATGCTATAGCACGATAAGATAATAAAAAGTGAGGCTACAATTTGAGTTCTAGAATTGATCTAAATTGGTAGGGTAGGCATTTGAGGAACTTAGACAAGTTAGTAGGTCATCAAGGTGGATTGTGAATATTTATTTATTTATTTATATTTATTATTAGATATTTTTAAATCAACTCTTGTAAACTTTGAAAATAATTTATTTTTAAGTGATTTTTAAAGTGTATTCTTCGTATCAATACGATGGATTAAAAAAAATTAATTTTTTAGTATTAACTTAAGATTCGAATCTTAAACTTGACTAAACACTTATTAGTGAATTTAACTATTAGTATTAGTGCACTGTAGATTAACAAGACATCCGTACCTGGTTTAAGCGGGCAGACTGGTATCGAGTTGTGGTGCTACATATGTATACATCATATTCTTTGATTGCCATGTAGCATGCCATGGACTCTTTGATGCTTTTCATCACACATGATTGCCAATGCAACTTCGTCATATCATCTCCCATTCAAAAGTCAAAGATAAAAGGCCCCAAAAACACACGTTAGGCTTCCAGACGGGACCATCTAATGGATTTGTCGGTCAGACGCGTCTTAAAAGATCTTCCCGAAAAGGATGGACCATTTTTTTCTCTTTAAACTCTAAACTTAAGGAGACGAATTTGCATTGTGGAGTCCAGAGTGCTGTTTCCCTCTGAAGCAGTGGCTCTGGGCACTGCACCATTCCTGGGGAACAGTAGGTACTTGATGGATGGATCCAAATCGTTCACATGGGGTTAAAGCTAACATGAGTTGGATGGACCACTAAACATGCTAGGAGGAAAATGGTTCAATACAATCAAATCGGTAACTTTCATCAACCCAATAATGGAATGAAAATGAGGAGACACATTTTTGCTTGGTAACTTGAATTTTGGGAGAGAACTCATGTCATTTAGCATGAAAAAAGTCAACAAAATCTTACGAACTAAAAAAGTGTTGATACAACAGATGACAGATTGATAGATTTAGGCCACGTGATGCAATGACTTTTTGGGATGAACTGTGACTTTCAGAAACAAAGAAAAGTGAAGAGACAGTTGTGGATGAAGGTTGTGGAATCGCCCATTGCTTTACTCAATTCTGATGTTACCGTCGCTTCCCTACACAATTATACCTGCAGACTGCAGCCACTAGGGCTTTCCTTGTACATCACAGTCCCTAGAAAACGTAAAGCCAAAGCTTCCTCTATGCCTTCCATCTGTTGGCCTAAATGTCTCAATGAGTCATTATACTCCCTTGCATCCTTAAAAGTTAAAGTCTCTAACTTTCACTTTTGCTCTTTTCTGGGGCATATTTTGATTCTTTTCTTCTTCGTTTTCTTTGTTGCCCAATTCAATTCATTTGTTCTATTGTGAAGAAAGATATGAAAGATAGAGGCAAAGCTGTGGAAGTATACAACAATGATTTCTTCCAAGATTACAGTTGTTCATCAGATCTTCCATGCAGGAAACACCCACAATCGTCTTCAGTTGGTATATGTGCTTATTGTCTCAAGGATCGTTTGGTGAAACTGGTGTGCTCTGATTGCGGCGAGCAGCGGCTTTCTTCTTGTTCTTGCTCTGAAATTTCGTCCAATCCTCGAACTTCATGCGCAGGTGACGTGGGTAGTGTTGGGCGGGTCTCATTCTTAATTGAGAATGAAAACAGAGATCATGTAATTCCAAAGTCCAAAAACAGTGGAGACAAATCGGAAGAGGTCTTCTTCCTCAAGAGGAGTAATAGTAGTTGTGTTGAGATCAAGAGAAAGAATGGGTTTTGGAAAATTGGGAGACTGTTCAGGAGGAAGAAAGATCATAGAGACTGTGGGAAGAGTGTTGGTGGGATGGAAGATAAAAGTGATTTGTGGGTTATTGATTATGCCGGCCGCGTGTCCAGGTCCAGGTCTCTTTGCAGTTTCAGAGGAGGGTTTTTGGGGTCAGAAGATGGAGGTGACTTAATGAACTACTCCGGTGCCCGGAGCTCTATCTCTGCCGCTAGGAGCTCAAGCGTCAATGGCGGTCTGGTTTTTGATCCCGACAGAAAAAGTGGGTTCAGTGAAGCAGAGCCGAGGAAAAGTGGGTTTGACAGTGATAGAAGAGACAGTACTGATATTGGTCCTGATGTTAAGGGCGGCTTCACCGGAGCAAACCGCCGTGTCTTTTCACTCAAGGAGAGTTTCTTCTCTGGTGGTGATGATTCCGGTTTCATTGATTTGAAATTTGATTTCCAACCAGAATCAAAAGGGGATGTCTCTGCTCTTAAGAAGGGCGTTCTGGCAGATTCTAAGTCTGCTTTTGGTAGCATGAAGGTTGGTGATTTTGTCCCACCAGAACCCAGTGAGAGTACCCTCGCTGGAGATGGGACCTTTTTCAATGGGGGATCATGTAGGATCACGGTGAATGACAGGGGAATTAAGAAGAGCAGGAAGAGTTTCAAGGGATGGCGGTGGATTTTCAAGCACCATCAAACTTGGGCAAGCAATCCTAGGAAAAAGGACGGAGGAGAGCTTACCGTTAATCCCTGATATTATAGCTTAGGACAACCTTCAATCTATGTTATTTTGTGCTACTATTTTCATGTGTATTTTGGTTTTTCTTTTCCTTTCTAATGTAGTTATGTCGATTATTATGCAATGCAA